GTGCTGCCCGCCGCCTCCCCAGGCGCGGGGCGGCCGGCGTTTGGAATAACGGTCCCGTCCCTCGTCGCCTCCTTCTCAACAGGGCACTATGAACGAGGAGCAGTTTGTGAGCATCGACCTGGACGATGACAACATCTGCAGCGTCTGCAAGCTGGGGACCGACAAGGAAACGCTTTCGTTCTGCCACGTGTGTTTTGAGCTGAACATTGAAGGTAACGTGTTTTAACGCGGGTCATCTTGTGCGAACTTTGGTCGTAGGCTGCCCGGCTTGGAGCTGAACGCAAGTTAGACTTACCCGAAAGCTTTCGGAAAGGCTTGGGTTTGAAAATGTGTGCGTTTAGAAAGTTTTCTTTCTTGCCAAACTAGTTTGTTAGGTTTACAAGTAGCTCATCTCCAGTGAAGGTAGGTGCCCCAGCTGCTCTAGTGCCTGCTTCTCTAGGTGTAAAGATGTAACCTCCTTCAGAGAGCTTCTGAAGTGCCCTGGTGTTTGTTTCACCTTCTGGTATGGGACCTCTGGTGTTAATTCAGATTGGAAGTTTATTTTCTGCCTTTATTCGGGGACTTTGTTCAATAGTTAAGGGGATCTATATATAAAACTTACTTAAACTGTAAGTTTTAAAGCATAATAGATTTTTTTTTTAAGCGGATCAGTGTTTCGCTTTCACTAGAAATAATCAGAGGATTATTTATTTTTGCTTTTATAAGATGATAATACATGTAATATGATAAAACTAGGTTCATTGCCAAAGCTTCTTAAGGTTTGCAAATTATAAAGTAGGAATTTTGTCCATCTTTTAAAAGACTAATCTTGGGAGCATCTCTGGCCTCCAAAATCGTATATTTAGAATTTCAGACCTTTTTTTGCTAAATAATTTCCTTATCTTGTTGCTCGTCTTCATGTATGAATCAATGGGCATGAACGAGCAATAGATTAGTTATTTCCCTTTTTTAAGTCAATAAGGATTGTTTTTGTAAGTACAAATACTGTTAGTTGGTTTTTGGGACAACAAAGTAATTTGTTTCGGTTATATAAAGTGGTATTTTCCAATTGCACATGCACCTGACTACCTACAGTAATCTGTATTGGTATAGGGCATATCTTAATATGGGGAATTAATGGCGAGTATCTTAACACTGTTATGTGAATAGTCCAATTTCTTGATGGCAGTAACATTTACTGTGTCTCTGATCATATGAGAGTACATTATAGGTCTTAGGATCAAGTCTTTCTGAGGGTAAAGTGCTATGAGATATGAGCACTGTACTCAGTGATCTGGTTGCTTATTCTGAACCCTAGAAGCATAAAACTGAGTGGAATGTAGGAGGCTCTAAGGATATGTATTCCATACACTGTTAATATCATGCATCTGACTTTTAATGCATGCATAGGTAATAAAATTTTGTTCTTACCTTACAGAAATCTGAAAAAATGCATTAGTTAATTGCAACCACTTTTAAATACTGATATGATTACTGTGTTTTGATTAAAAAAAAAAAAAGTTATGCCTTTAAGGTCTTTGTTGCTACTAGGGGCAATATATTTTGATTTGACCAATACTTTCATACTTAAGTAGTAATTTGCATGCTTTATGCTTTCATTTAGAATACACATATATTTGCATTTTTTGTTGAAGCTCAGAGCAACTATCTAACGTAAGACAACCTGTCAGTCTGCTTGAGTTTTCTTTCTGCTTTAAAACAGGCTTATGGTTCTCACTATGAGTTAAGGTGTTTCTCTCGAGGCTTGAAAATGAGAAAAAAACATATTGCCATAATGAGAATTAAGTACTCTGATTACATTCAGAATGAGTTTTATTTTGGAAGTGTTGAAATAAATAAAACAGGATGCATTAAAAAATTGCTGGATGGTTTCTGTGCTCTGTTTGAGATAAGCTGTGGATTTGTCAAAGTTACTTGTTATGGATATTACTTTACAAAATGATCTCATGTCTTTTAGCTGGAACAGCTTTTTTTTTTTTTCTTCTGGAACTCCTAAGTAGACTTGATAATAGTAAAGACTTAATCTGTGCAGTAGACTACTTTGCATAATCCTTTAAATTTTCAGTTAATTTTAAAAGAATACTACTTAAACAGAATACTGATGAAAGCTCACCTGAAATTACATAAGCCATTATATTCTTATCTTCTCTTTTGCATAGTAAAAGAAAAGTCTTAATATAGTTTGTCATTATAGCATCAAAATACCTCAATTTCTGATATTCTGTCTTCTGTGTACCCCTTGAAAAGATGTACTGTTAACTGCTTTTATAGAGAAAGGCAGCAGAGGCTGTGTAAGCGACTTCATGAAGAATCATTATAAAACTTTCTAGCTGAACCACTGCATTAGCCAGCCGTTTACCATATCCATGATCA